GACGAGAACTGGTAGTTTAAACGTGGTAGGAATGTTGGCTGAGTGCTTGTGTTATTCAGAGACATTTTATGTGGTTTTAATCCGAAAAAAAATTTTAGAAATATAAATATAAATGATTCCAATTGACGGAAATCCAGTATTCGAGTATTCGGATAATAATTCATCAAATTATTTTATTATTCAAGTATTGAGAGAGAGATATTCGAACTGATATTTGAATAATTAGAATCTTAATATCCAAAAAGTCGAATTTATCCAAATAAAATCCATAAAAATTATCTTCATTATAAGAAAGAGATCACAGAATTAAATGCTTCTTATTTAAATACATAGAATAGAATAGTTTATTACTTTAACTAATCTAAATAATCTAAATATATAAATCATTAACATTTCTTTATCAAAATTGAAAATTTTTTTAAATTAAGTTTACCTTTCTTGTTTCAAAAGGTTTTCAATAGGTCTTAATTATAAACACGATATTTCTTTAAAAAAAAGTCACCTTGGCAACTTGAGATAGGCCGCTAGCGGGCTCGGCATGACCCATATTTGATTTAACAGAACCGATCAGCAAAGGAGTAGGTCTATCTTTTTCGAAGAAGACCTTCTCGATTGCGTGAAGTTCTTCAGGATCGCCGACTTTGGTGCCAGTACCATGACATTCAATATAGAACACATCGTTCAGTGGTACATTGCAATCCTTGTAGCATTCCTTCATCAACGTGGCTTGCATCGCGCTCGACGGAAACGTGATGCCTTGTTCCTTGTAACCATCACAATTTGTCTTACCGTAGACCACTGTAGCGTAGATTCGTTTTGCATGCTTCGCCTTCTGTAGATATATAACGGAGATTGCCTCGCTGCGAGCATAGCCATTCGCGTCGGCGTCAAATGATTTACTGCGGCCATCAGACGACAAAACCCCTGCAATCGTAATTATTATAATAAAATATACAAAAATCGCCTATTATATCTTCAAAGTATTTGGTATTTTGTGTGTGTGTGTGTGTGTGTGT